GGATCTGACAACCTCTTCTGTTTTCCCCGGGCACAGCACGACACGGGTGCACTTACCTAAACACAGACAATATATGCATACACATAAAATAATAAAAAAAAAATTTAAAAAAGATGAGTAATTATGCCAGGTGTGGTGCTAAAGATCAGAAATCATGCAAAGTGGCTCTTTGTAAGATAAAAGTCAGCCTGGTCTACATAGCAAGTTTCAGGTCAGCTGGGACTACAGGGAGACCCTGTCTAAAGTAAGCAAACAACAACAAATCAGTAATCATATATAACTCATATACTTAAATCTCTCTGAAACGAGTCTTGCATGAAAATGATGGACTATAAACAATAATGCCTGCTTTTAAAAAATATTTTATTTATTATTATTATTTTTATTTTATGTGTATGAGTGTACTGCCTACACATATATGAATGCACCTGAGTCATGCAATGCTACGGAGGTCAGAAGAGGGCTTCAAATTCCCCTGGAACTGGAGTTAAGGACGGTTCATAGCCGCCATGTAGGTGCTGGAAATTGAACCCGGGTCCTCTGCAAGAGCAGTCAGTGCTTTTAAATGCTGAGCCATCTCTCCAGTCCTATTATTATGGCTGCTTTTGTATGGTTCATGTAACAATAAAATGAGAGGATAAAAATTTGTAATACAGCTAGTGCAGTAACTGGCTCATAACAGGTGTTGAATAGTTACTTTAGGAATAAATATTAACTTAGAAGTCTTCTGAATACAGGAAAATGGATTTTAGTTTGGAAAACTAGTACTAATAATGACATGTGAAATGAATCCTGATTTCTATTACATGAAAATGATTATTTTCTTCATTGCAAGAGTTGAATGCTATACTACCTAGGATATTATGTATTGCTCTGGTGCTATTTTAAATTTATTTGTCAGTGCTGGGGATTGAGTCCAGGGCATCCTAGAGGCCAAGCATGCATGCCACTACTGAGCTACACCTCAAAGCCTGTGGGCTAGTTCAAATAAAACATACAAAAAAGCATACCTTTAAAAATTTTTTTAAATTATTTTTATGTGTATGACTGTTATGCCTGCATGTAAGTGCACCTGTGTCCTGCAATGCCTGCGGAGGACAGAAGAGGCTGTTGGATCCCCTGGAACTGGAGTTACGGACAGTTGTTAGCTGTCATGTAGGTGCTGGGATTCGAACTTGGGTCCTCTGCAAGAACAGTGTTCTTAGTCACTGAGCCATCTCTCCAGCCCCGCATAACTTTTTTTAATAGAATCCTTTTATTTCCTCTTTTTGAGATAGTCTCATGTAGCCCAGGCTGGTCTCAAATCTGCTGTATAGTCAAGGATGGCTTTGAACTCCTTGTTCTAGTTATTTTGCTGTGATAAAACATTGGCCAAGGCTAGCTGTGATGCTGCATGCCTTTAATCCCAGCACTTGGGAGGCAGAGATAGGTGGAACTCTGTGAGTTTGAGGCCAGCCTGGTCTACACAGTGAGTTCCAGGCTAGTCAGGACTATGGTAGTGAGATCCTGTCTCAAAAAACCAAAACCAACCAACCAACCAAACAAACAAAAACAAAATACCACTGACCAAAGACAACTTGGAGAGAAAAAGGTATATTTGGCTTTTAGATCCTGATCACAGTCCATCTCTGAGGAAAGCCAAGGAGGAATGCTGCTTAACAGTTTGTTCCCCTGCTTGCTCAGCCCAGATCCACCTGCTTAGGGATGGCACAGTCCACAGTGAGTGAGCCTTCCTACATCAATTAGCAATCAAGAAAATGCCCCATAGACATGCCCACAGACCAGTCAGATGGCTAATTGAAAATCTTTTTTCCAGGTATGTCTAGGTTTGTGTCAAGTTGACAAAAGACAACCAGCACACTCCTGATCCTTCCTGTCTCCACCTCCCAAATACTGGGATTAGAGTCATCATGAGACATCAGATCAGTATCAGTCTTTGTGCCAGAGACATTCAAAGTTAAATGGAAGACAAATATGGTAATAAACAGCTATAATAAAATGTAAAAGTGCTCCATGTTAGAGATATAAGTTACCCTGTGGACTTAGAGAAGACACAAAATGAAATAGACAAAATTCAACTGAGAACTGGATTAAAGTAGGTTCTAATACCTTTCCTATTGCAAGCCTATGTTTTCAAGGATGTTTCCACCTCGGCAGGGATTAAAGGGGACTGACACAGTATGAAGGCCAGTGTTCCTTCTGGAGCCAGATCTCTTTTTTGACGTGTATTAGGTGTGCATACATGTTCATGTGTTGGTGTGCATGTGTGTGGTCATGTGGAAGCTAGAGGTTGACATCCAGTATTTTCCTCAATTGCTCTCCATTCATTTTTGGAGACTATTTTACCACATCTTGAGGTCACTGATTTCAGCTAGAAGTTGTCCAGCAAGTCCCAGGGGTCCTTCTGTCTCCTGAGAAATGGGACTATAGACATGACGTCTGGCTTTTTGTGTGAGTGCTGGGGATCCAAACTCAGGCCCTCATTTTACTGACTAAGCCATCTCCCCATATTTCTTGGACCTCTTTTGTGTGTGGTGGGAGTCTATACTGAGTTCCTATGATTACATGCTGCTTTGGCATCCACTGTGAATATAAGCTATATTTTCTTACAACAGAGGCAGGGCTCAGTCACCCTGGCCAGTCTATAATTCTTTGCCTCCTGGCTCCTTTGTACAATTGATTCAGATGTCTGCCACACACTTCCTGCAGTCAGCTAGATGCAGCTGAGTTGGCCAACCAATTCCCATGCCTAGCAAGGATTGTGCAGATGTAGATGTCACAGAAGGCCTTCTGAAACTTGTGTGTATGCTTTAAACCTACCAATAAAACTTTCAAGCCGGGTGTGGTGGCGCACGCCTTTAATCCCAGCACTTGGGAGGCAGAAGCAGGTGGACCTTTGTGAGTTCAAAGCCAGCCTGGTCTACATAGTTCCAGGACAGCTGGGGCTACAGGGAGACCCTGTTTCAAAAAGACCAAAAAAACCAAACAAACCCCCCAAAAAACTCTTCACAGCAGACATGTCCAGATGCCTGCATTCTTTGGCCCCTGGGTACTCCACCCATACCTATGCTTTCCTAACCTGTGTGTATTGACCTCCAGGTGTAATAAAAGCTTTATATTTATCTTGCACCTTCCCTATTTCATCATAAAGATCTTAAATCAAAACAGTCTCACCTGGATGATTTAGAGATTTGAGTCTTTTGTCATATTCTAAGATTTCCCCAAGTTGAGTGATAACAGTCTTAACAGTACACACTCCCCCTACCTGCCTTGCCACAGCCATAGGGAGTTGCTTTTTCCTTCTCTGTGTCAGTAGTCTGACCTGCCGTCACTACCATCTACACCTGGGAACTCCTCTCCCTCCTCTCTTCTCTCCTACTGTTGGACTCTGTCCTCTCCCACTCTGTTCTGCACCATGACTATCACTCCTCATTGTTCACAAAAAGATTTCCACTGGAAGGAAAGAGAAAAGGAAAAAAATCTTCCTACTGGCTAAGGATTTTATTTTTTTCTGACAGGGAATGTATGTTTCTGAGATGTAGTGGGAACTCAAGAATGTGTATAGTAGTGAATACAATTTCATTCTGTGACCAAATGTTCAATACTATTTCCTCTAGTTACATTAATACAGACATTAGTATTTCAGATACTCACGAGTGGCAAATGGTATTTTGCAGATTAGCCTGGAAACCTCACTCCTAGGAGGATTGCTGTTATAGGAAAATGCTGCCTCAGTGGTAACAATCAGCTTACTAATGACCTTTACAAATTAACTTTCCTTCCCTCCTGCAAAGGCATGTTTTTGGTTCTCTATCCTTGGACACTTAAGAACTGGAGGCAAAGAAATGTGGATTTGGTGAAGTCTGGGGCCAGCTAGCTCCAGGCAGGCTCAGGATCAACCATCCCACATAGAAAAAACAAACAAACAAACAAAAAAACAAAATAACTTTCCTTCCTCAGGCACGGTAACAGAAAAATCTTAAAGTCTGGTAGGCAAAAAAAGAAATCAAATCAAAGAGCAGCCATCTTTAGCTGTACAAGAGTCTATATATTAATAGTATTATATAGAAAACAGATGTTTGTAAGTCTGTTAAGTGGTGTGGGGGCAAAAGTAAACTGCTAGGTTGCCCTCTCCCATCAATCCCATCTTCACTCATAGCATGTGGTAAGCTGCCCCAGGCTGCTCCCCCCTTCCCCAAATACAAGTTTGCTGTGGGAAAAGGGTTGTATAACAGTAAAAATACTGAATATAGCACACAAAGAAGTACAGATCACATAATAATATCAAAAACACAAGTGTTTAGAAAACTACTCAAGACACACAGAAGAGTTAAAAAGAATGTGTTTCCTGAAATAACATTTCCAAACAATATTCTATTTAGAAAATAAATGCATGGAAACTCCTACATGTGGCTTGGAAGTCATGGAGTAGGTGATTTTTTTTTTTTTTTAAAGGGAGGATGTTTTAAATGGTATTCTGATAAAGGAAGACAGATAGGTGTGGGCAAGTTCTTTGCAGGCACAAGAATGTGGAGAAGCCAGACATACTGCTGCTGCTACAGGCAGTGAAAGAATTCTGTATTTAGTGAGGAAGTACTTTGGTCCCAAAGGCAGTCACAGGGTACTATGGATTCTGAAATAAGACAAATTGTGCCAGGTGTGGTGGTGCACTCTAATCCCTGCACTTGGAAGCAGAGGCAGGCAGATCTCTGTGAGATCCAGGCCAGGGTAGTCTACACAGTGAGTGTCAGGCCAGCTAGTGCTATACAGTGAAGCCCTCTCTCAAAACAAACAAACAAACAAACAAACAAACAAACAAAGAAGATGAAATGATGAATGGTAAGCACACATGAGAATCCCATTTAGGCTGCGGCCCACATGTTTTACATGCATGCCATCACTGACCTTTCCAGGTACCAAATATCTGGCATGTATATGGCACTTCAATTTAACACTTGGTAATGCATTTGTGAAAGTGAAGGACAGCTAAGTTGACTCACCTCATAGAAGAGTCCTTCTGGAAACTGCTGGAAGCACTGAGCACACACAAAGCACTGTTCGTGGTATAGCTCACCATTACTATTCACGATCTTCTCGGCAGGTGCAAAGCCCCCCTTGCAACGCTCACATGTGGCGCTGGCCAGGGCATTAGCCATGTTGCTGTAACATACAAAGACAACAAGTCACAGACCATCACCCTTTAAGTAGACTTAAGACTTAGATGACACGAAGAGCAGAGGAACAAACTTTTTTCCTGTTTTTTTTTTTTTTGGTCTTTTTGAGACAGGGTCTCCCTGTAGCCTCAACTATTGACCAGGATGGCTTTGAACTCACAGATTCATCTGCCTCTGCCTCCCCAGTGCTGGGATCAAAGGCATGTGCCACCATGCCCAGCTCCAAGGAACAAATTCTATCAAGACACAAAAACTAGTATTTTATCTATAAAGCCTGGTTTCACAAGTATTCTATCTCAAAATGCCCCAGTCTCTTTACCCTAGGGACCTTAGATTATGAAAGGGCCTCTTTCTTTGCTTCTGTTTGACTTGAACATTTTTGGCATTCTTCTTAAGTGTTAGACACTAGGAACAGAGATCAAAATCAAGAGTTGCCCTTAGCTGTGTATATGCTTGTAGTTCTAGCTTCCTCAGGAGGTTGAGGCAGGAAGGTTGCTTGAAAGCAGAAGTTCAAGGATAGCATGGGCCACATAGCCATAGTGAGACCCTGTCTCAAATAAATCAGTAAATAAGTAGCTTAATTAAAACACCTGAGATAACATCTTTACAATTTTTAAATTTATTCTTTGGTATAAATACAACTATTTAGATCATATCCACCTCTGTCCCCCCTGCCCCACCCCAACTTCCCTGGGACTTCCCAGTCCATATGCCCAATCTACTAAGTCCATTTAGTGCTGTCTGTATTTGCATGGGCATAGGGCCATACTGCTAAAGAAGACTGACTTTCCTTCCCCAGGGGCTATCTACTGCCAATAGCTCCTCAGCTTGGGGTGGGGCCTTATAAGCCCCCTCGCTCCATGACATAACATCTTGACTCAATTTCTTTCCCTTTCTAGAATAGAATCTCAACTTCATGCAATTGAACACTATGTCATACCCAAACATAGACTATACCTTTGATCACTTCCAGTTTTAAAGAAACTGCTTAAAAAAACTCTCAACACAGGCTAGGCGTGGTGGCACATGTCTTTAATCCCAGCACTTGGGAGGCAGAGACAGGCAGGTATCTGTGAGTTCCAGGCCAGCCTGGTCTATATAGCAAATCCCAGGTCAGTTGGGGCTACTCGGGGAGACTCTGTTTCAAAAAAACCAAAATAAAAGCCTCTTAAAACTAGACAAGATGTCTCAGTCCTATTAAATGTGTTAAGATAAACAATGAATACTAAGAACATAAAATGTACCTTAAAATCCCAGAATTTTATATGAGATCATTTTCCAGATAAACAGGTTCAGAGGTAGATGACTAGCTCAACATTATAGAACTAACTACTTTTTTTGAGGTCTTTTTTTTTGAGACAGGGTCTCCCTGTAGTCCCAGCTGATCTGGAACTCACTATGTAGACCAGGTTGGCCTTGAACACACAGAGATCTGCCTGCCTCTGCCTCCCGAGTGCTGGGATTAAAGGTGTGTGCCACCAGGCCCAGTCAGAACTAACTACTTAATGGAGGGCATAGGACTAGAATCCAGGTTCTCTGCTTACAGGGAATCACAACCTTAATTCTGGACACTTGAGAGTATGCATCAGGGATGTGATCATGTTTTATAAATCAAGAAAATGACCAGGCTGATTGACTCTGACAGATCCCTCATGAGCCATCCCACTACATCTGGAAATCCTGGATATAGTTAATGCATGCCCTCAATTTTCTCTAACCATTGGTCCTTTGGAAGAAAAGCAGCATAGGTTTCACGTATCTATTTTTTTTTTTTTCTGAAAGTTCTAGATAAGGAAAAGATTCCCTATGCTGGCCAAGCTGTCCTTCATAATTTTATAAGCTGTTTTTATTTCAGGGGCCCATTCAGAGTACAAATTCTTCTTCTACAAGCATGTCTAATCCCCTAGCATAGCTTCTGACCTTCCAGATACTGTATTAGTTCATCCTGTAAAATGAACTGATACCACCAAGGGTGCCAAGAGACAGAGGGGATGGACAGCCTCTACAGACATTTTAACCAACTGCCTTGCTCCCATCTGTTTTCAAGTTTGGCTATTTCCTTAGCAAAGGTGGTACGGTAACACTTCTCCATTCCATCCCAATGGAGGACAGCTCTACACTTTGCCTTCTTCCCTCAAACGTTTCAAGGAAACTCTATCTTATAACCTTGTCACCATAACTTCACGTTACATCCCCATGTTCACCATCTCTCACCAATCAAAACTCAACTATAATTAGTAGGCTTGAATATAAAATATAAATGTCACTGGGAAAAAAAGGTGTCTAAGATGGGGTTCAGTGAGATGGCTCAGCAGGTAAAGGTACTTGCCACCAATCCTAATGACTTGAGTTTGATTTCTGGAACCCACATGGCAGGAGAGAACCTGACTCCAGCAAGTTGTCCTTTGACCTAGACATTGTGCTTTACCTCTCTAAAAATAAGTAAATAAAATATACTTAAAAAGAAAAGAAAAGGAGGCAGCCTCACTGCGGGGTAAACCTAGCCTAGGCTTCGTGTAAACATATTTCCACTTTGTCATGTCAGAATTAAAATCTGTAGCTTCCTTCTATCTAGATGAACTGTGGCAGTTTTAGTAAAGCTCTTAAGAGATCTGCACATCCTCCTTTCTCATCAAATTCACAAGTGTGGCTGAGTGAAGGATGGCAAACCCCACATCTGCTTAAGAATTCTCAGAAACTGTTTTGAGGCAAAATAATTAAAAGCATAAACTACTTTAGAAATCAGATAATGCCACTAAAATGGATGGCAGCATTTTAATTCTAAACTCTCGCAGGAGACCCCAAACCTCTGTAATCTTAATGAACCCCCCCAAAAGCTGGAGAACATTTCTGAAATGTCCTGATTCACCACTACTTAACTCAATGGTTGTCACGTTACCAGATACAACTCTGTGCAGAGTGCAGAAGCCTACTATGAGAAAGGAGCTTCAGACAAAATAAACATTTACAAAATTTGAAAATGTAAGGCAATGCCATTCTTTCCTCTATTAACACGTAATGAGATTACTGCTACTTTTAATTGAATTAATACACATTTATAATTTTTCTCAGTTTCAATTTCTCATTAGTACATACTGATTAAAGTTCTCTCTGAATTTCAATACTTTATTGTATTTATTTTGGTAATGCTGGGGCAGTATAAAGAGGACCTCAGACCAAAATGCTATAACCACTGACCTGCTCAAATTCATTACATTACGGACTTTAGTAACAAAAGAAGAAAAGGGAAACAGCAACCATTTGGGAAACAGCAACCATTTGCCTTCCTACTGGCCATTCATCTTTCTCCTTCCTTTCATCTTTAAAAAAAAGTTTTGTTTTTTGTTTTTCTGGAGACAAGGCTGCATGTAATGTAGGCCAGGCTAGCCTCAGATACCTGATCCTCCACCTCCCAAGTTGGGATTACAGGCATGTACCAACACGCCTGGCTCCTCTCTTGCCTGTTTCACAGATATTGTTCACATTTTTATAGTTGATTATATATATGTATATCTATCTATCAATCAATCAATCAATCAATCAATCAATCTATCTATCTATCTATCTATCTATCATCTATCTATCTATCTATCTGAGAGAGAGAGACAGAGACAGAGAGAGACAGGGAGGGGGAGGGGAAGGAAAGGGGGAGGGAGAGGGACAGCAGTCAGCACACACAGCCAAGGCTTATTAAAGTGAAAATAACACTCCACACAACACATAAAAGATAGACTCCTCATGAGGGAAGAGGTCCAGACCTGGAATACCCTACAGCTGATTATATTACTTTTAAGAGACAAATCATTAGAATGGTTACAACTAATTGCCTAATTTTTCAGACAATGTTTTTCACTAAAAAGTGTCGATGACAAAGAAACCAAAAGCCTTTCAGCACAGGACCCTAACTGGCTAGGCATGCCTGATCTCACCATCACTTCTACAGGCCGACCTCACACAATAAGCTGTAATAAAGCTTTCAAGTTTCTCCAGTACCTCATTAAGTGAAACAAATTTTCTACTCTTAAAATATAACAATGTACAAAATGCAATTATCAAATGTCTTCAGAGTTTATTAACCAGCTCAAATATTGATCATAGAATAATTCCCTAACATGTTTGCCAATGTAATTTTTAGTTTCATCCAACCTGCTCTTTGAGAACTTTTAGAATATGTTTTCCTGTTATGGATTCTGACAACATAACTGCTAACTTTCTTATGAACAAGACAATGAAAATATACCATCATTTGGAAGACAAGGGCTTTCTATTCCTTCTGGGAAGGTAGCATTTTCCTTGACATCTATATGCCCCCTGATGGAAATTTTACAAGGCAATCTATGAACCACCCTGAGCCCTCAGCACACCCAGGAAAAACCCTGCTAAATAAATCACATTGGCCCTGATCAAACTGGCTAGGGGATCCAAAGCTGAAAAACTTGACATCTGAAAGCAGGGAAGGGGAGACTCACAATTTTGCATAAAAGTCACAAAACTCCTTGTAGACTTTGACATCGCTGTGCCTGCGCTGCAGGTTTGATACAGCTCTCTCGTCTTCATTCCCATTAGCCTCGTGGACACTGTTCAGAACTGTTTGGGGGATTTCTTCATTTTCTGGGATGGTGCTGGGGCACATGCGGCCTGTGAAAGCCATTGTGCAGGCTTGAGAGCTCAGAGCCTGGGACGCCAGGGCAGGATATGAAGAAGAGAAACAATCCAGGCCTCCAGCTTCCCAGCCAGGGTCACTCCCACTGCTCCCACATGCGTCATCCGACTGCCAGGGTTGCTGCTGACTCTTTAACTAAGAGCTCAGTAGCATAGCCGTCTGGCTTTACTGAGGCTTTTGAGAAGCTCTCAAAAACACTTCACATGGTTTGGCAATCTTTTTCTAAGAAATTCTCAACTGGGTATGCACAGAATCTTTTAGAAAGCTTGTAGGACATCCCCTGACAAGTTCCAGTGAGTATCTGTGAGTCCTTGAAACCAAGC